TTTTTAGGAAATAAATTCTCCATAAATGCTAACCTAAAATCAAAATAGATCTGTCGAGTTTATTGTAAATAAATTAAGAATATCACATGACACATATTTTGTGAGTTTATTTGAATCTAATGCTGCGAATAAGCCCTGTGCTTTTATTTTGGATTCATGTTTGAGTTTATTGTATTTATAATTCAATTAAATCTGACGATATTATTATACACTTAATGCTTATAAATTCAACATAAGATCACAATATGTTCGGAGGGCATATCAGCACCTGCCCGCGGTGAGTTAGAGGCATCTATTTTATCCGAGCCGATAATTGCCCTAAATTCTTCAACCGTGACCCCGAAGATTTACCGATTCAAGAAATGGGCTTAAATACCCTAAAATTCAACGGCGAACTTGAAACAAGCCTTAATATTTTCCATGTCGTACCCATTTCTTGGTGCTTCCATCCCAGACCTCGTAGCGAAACTCAAAGTTGAAGAGAAGATCTCATTACTTGGGGCTCCCAACTGGTGGAACACTACTGCCATCGAAAGGCTTGGTATTCCTGCCATCCGCATGAGTGATGGCCCAAATGTAACACTTTCAGTAGCCAAGATGTTTTTTCAAATTCAGTACTAAGTAATGGCTTAGGGTGTTCGAGGTTCTTCTCATTTTGTCTCTACCCCAGCTCAATGCCTTCCAGTGGGTGGTTTCGATGGGTTTTTGAATAGTGATCATTTCAAAATAGTATTGATCACTTAGTGCGCCACATCTCTCGCGTCTACGTTTGATCAAGACCTTATCCATGAAGTCGGCATATTTCTAGGTAAAGAAGCGAAAGCGAAGTCGTCTGTGGTCCTGTTGGCTCCAACTTGTAATATTCAACGCACGCCATTGGGAGGAAGGTCATTTGAATCATTCTCTGAAGATCCACATCTTTCAGGTTCCTTTTATCCGGGAAAGCCTATTCTGAGGTCTAATGTTCTTCTACTGTAGGAACCTTGGCGGCTGCCTACATCAATGGTCTCCAAACCGAAGGAGTTTCTGCTAGTGCGTAAGGTTTATCCTCCCCCTTATGCTGTAATCTAATAGGATCTTTGTAAAGCGATTAAACACTTCGTAGCAAATGACCAGGAACACGAAAGAACTGCGGTTGAATCTGTTATGTCCCCTCGAGCGTTACGAGAAATTTATCTCTACCCGTACGCTGTTCAATTATTTATCTTTCCAATTGCATCAATACCATCCAGGTTTATGCTCGCTCAAAAGCATGCCCGACCTGGCGCATATATGACTTCGTCAGTCTGATCATTTTGTAAACTATGAGTCTAACACATCATATTTTATTTCAGCTATGGGCGAATAGATGGTGTGCACTGTTCGGAAAACCACAGACTTTTGAAAGGCATATTGCGCGATGAATGGAAGTTTGATGGAATTGTCATGAGTGACTGGTAAATTGGGACGTTCTGTCGTTGATATACTTAAATATTTTTTGATAGGTTCGGGACTTACGGTGTCGATCAACCTATTAACGCAGGTTTAGATCTCGAGATGCCAGGCCCCCCACGCTGGAGGAACCCCCTCCTTGTCCTTCATTGCCTTTCCTCTCAAAAGCTTCTGATCCGGACCATCGATGAACGGGTGATCAATCTTCTGAATTTTGTACAAAAACAAGCCAGAAGGAACCCCGAGGTAGTTTATGGTGACGGGATAGAACGAACTCACGACTCCCCGGAAGGGCGTAGGTTCTGTAGGAAGCTAGCCGCAGATGGAATTGTCCTCCTAAAGAACAAGGACAATGTTCTCCCTATATTACCGGCGAATGTAAAGCGACTCGCTGTCATAGGACCCAACGCGCGCGAACGTGTAATTTCAGGAGGAGGATCCGCCGCCCTCAAGGCGACGTATATTACCACTCCATGGGATGGTTTATTTGGTAACGCCCCTCAAGGGTTAGTCGTTGATTACGAAGTTGGTTGTTATGGTAGGCAAGATAGCAATAGAATGCGGTCTCAAATTACTAACCGGTTCTTCATCAGCTCACAAATATCTTCCTACTTTAGAGAATGTTCTCGTAACACCTGCAGGCGAACCTGGATGGCTCTGCACATTTTATAGTCACAATGATAATGGAGAGATCTTGGATGCCATAGGAAAATTCGTCCTTCGAGACACCCGTGTCAAATTGAATGATTTTTTGCCAGTGGGGCTCACGACAACTTGGACCATCAAACTGGAAGGCACGATGATTTTTGATAGAACCACTCCTTTTGAGTTGGGTCTTACAGTCGCAGGTTCGTTAGGCGAACTATGTGTGAAATGACCTACCTCATGTCATTTTAGGGCGTGCCAAGCTCTGGATAGATGGTGAACTTACCATTGATAACTGGACGAAACAAACACCCGGGGATTTCTTTTATGGGTCAGTAGTTCATTTATATCATTGATAACCTTACCGAATCACAAGAACAGACAGGGAACTGTAGAAGAGAAAGCCATAATACTCGTAACCGCCCACAGGCCTGTCAACGTTCTTGTAGAGTATACAAACACAGCACCTCCTGATGGTGCTGACGAGAAAGGTGAAGGAAGGCTTTCGCAGCCAGCCCTCATGCGCGGGGTGGTCAGTTCCATCGCCTTTAGTTATTAATTGAGGCCTGATTTTCTTTATCAGCGACTGGGTGGGTGTGAAAAGATTGACCCTGATAAAGCAATTGAGGCGGCTGTGGCATTGGCAGAAAAGGCCGATGCAGTCTTGTTTGTTGGTGGACTTTCGCCTGAATGGGAAAGTGAAGGATTTGATAGGCCTACCCTTGAGCTTCCTGGACGTCAAGATGAAGTTATCAAGAGGCTCGCAATAGCAAACGCAAATATAGTAGTATGTATACAATCAGTAAGTCCTTCCCTCTCTCTATTACCTATTACCATTAGAGGCCTTATCTATCTCCAGGGATCTGCAGTTTCAATGCCATGGCTTGACGATATCAAGGGTTTGGTGCAGGCTTGGTATTTAGGAAATGAGGCTGGAAATGCGATAGCGGACGTTTTATATGGTCAAGTGAATCCTAGTGGTCGCCTCCCTTTGACCTTTCCTGTTCGAGAGGAAGATATCCCGGCCCACTTGAATGATAAGAGCGAACACGGAAAAATACAGTGCGTATGATGTGTCTCGTTCTCACCAAATTAACATCAATTTTGCAGCTATCGTGAGGATCTGTTTGTTGGCTATAAACATTATCAAGCGAGGAACGTAAAACCCCTTTTTCCTTTCGGGTATGTTTTTGAACCATCGGAAAATGGTAGCTGATATTGTTGACAGATTTGGCCTGTCGTACACCTCCTTCTCGTTCTCTGATCTGACCATAAACAACGTTTCGACCCACGATGAGGCCTTTACTGTCGAGGTTACGGTTACTGTCCGGAATGAAGGCGCTGTGGCCGGGTCAGAGGTTGTTCAGGTGTATATCACCTATCCCGATATTGGTCTTAGAACCCCGAAACTGCAACTCAAAGGGTTTTCAAAGGCACACGACCTTGCCCCACATGCATCGAAGGCTGTTTCCATCACACTCGACAAGTACGCATTGTCATTTTGGGATGCAGAAAGAAATATTTGGCATGCCGCAGCTGGTGAATATGTTATTTCAGTCGGCGCAAGTAGTGAGGAGTTGCAACAGCGGCAGTCCTTTACCCTAAATAGAAGCTTTTTCTGGAGCGGTCTTTAGAATTTGTGGTGTTATTGACAATCCAAGGGATAAGGAGCAATCGGTTTGATAACGGGTTTTATGTTGATGCCAATCAAAAACTTTAGTCTAATAACATAGTCTTACGAAGTTTAGACCAGTACCACCTCCATATATATGACCAGGGCACATAATCAAAATGTATCTATTGAGATTTGATTTACCATCAACTTACCTTGGCCATTGATCAAGATGTTTCATTCGGTAGCGTGGCCGAGTTGGTCTAAGGCGTTGGATTTAAGTCGATTGATTCCCAATGGGGGCAACCCCGCGCGAGTTCGAACCTCGCCGCTACCATAATATTTTTTAGTGAGCAAACCATGGGCTGTGGTTATGATTGTGTGTTGAAGGTCCACAATTCTTAGGAAATGGCAGACAAAATGGAAATATATTACAATGCAGTACAATTTTCATAATAGCTAACACTGGGGCAAAGCACTTATTTCATCACTGGGTATTACATCGTGTTTATTGAAAAACAAACTTTAAAAATATTCAGAATTTATTCATTTATTTTACATCAGGGGTCCAACTGGTATGTTATAAAGTATATTCACCATATACCTGGTGATGAAATAAGTGCTTTCCCCCAGTGTAATAATATAAGATGCAAGACTTTGAACCTCCCACATCAGGAAAAACCTCCTTCCAAATTAGTTATGAATTCTTTAGTTTACTAAAAACTTGTTCTCTATCAGCACAAAAAATGATTGATTTATTTATCCATTGATTCATATTTTGGTGCTGCAGGAATATTTTTTCTTAATTGTTGACATACACTCCCAACCCCACCACTTACTCCACTTACACCACATTCAAGTTACTCCACATTACATCATACCCCACTTACCCCACATTGCATCATCACTCCACAGTCTACCCCCACAGCCCCACAATCATATCTTATCAAGATTAGATAGTAAATGATGTGTATGACATCATGTGGCTTCAAAAGCAAAAACTTGCACCAAATGTGCATTCTACTGGTAAACAATTATACAAATAGAATATGCATTTTAATACACTTCAAAACACATATGTTTCTAGAAAACTCCTATTGCATCTATATAGTATGTGGTAGTTAAGTCTTGCTCAAATTCAGTGATAAAGTGTTCCGGAAATTGGGTGTATAAATAGGTGTAAACAAACCAAAAAATCATTGCAGCTGTCTATATTCATCATTGGTGGGCCTAATTACATTGATTCATTCACCATCATTACTGTGGGGAAATATTACCATAATGAGATTCTCTCTTATTTTGAGACTAGAATGTCAGGATTTCCATATTATTTGCATGTATTTGGAGAGCTTATATAATCCTTGGCACCATATGACCAAATAAAAGCAATCAAAATATTGCATAAGCATCCCATGTTTTAATGTTTTGTATTTTTCTTTATAAGCATTCCAGATATGGCATTGGTTGTTGTATGTTTGGCATGTACAAGCAGTGGCCTACAATTTCAAAAAAGGAAATATTTTCCCATGGTTTGTTCCTTCTTTGTTTTGCATTTTTCTCCAAAACCAGACAAGATATGGCATTGGTTGTTATGTACCAATTGTGTTCTACAATTCCTAAAAGGAAATATTTTCCCATGGTCACATGACCTTTCCTTACTCTATACCACATCACCATCCTTTATTGCATACTGGGTCACATCTCATTAAGAGTGTAGAACATTCATTTCTTGTAAAAATGCCTAAGAAACAAAAGAATGAGTATCTAGAGAAGACTTTGAAAAAATATTTTTTGTACAGGGTGAAGTACAGCATACACTAACATGATTGGAAACAAGTGATTACCATCAGGGTGTGTGTACTGTAGATGAGTACACTGATGAATTCTGCACTCTGATTGAGCATGATACAATGAAGGCCTTGTAATTGTTGTGAAGTATTGACATCAGGAAAAACACCCCAGGCCTTAAGAGTAGTCTACCATGCCCAATGGCTCCCTAGAGCATCACAGGGCAGCCAGAGCAACAGAGCACACAAAGTGCTCTCAAAGCAAAGTCACTTGGAAGAAAATCCCATGATGCCTCCAGGGCACTGCAGGGCATTCTCAGAGTATTCCAAGAGTACTGCAGGACACTTTGTAGTGCTCTCAGGATACTCTGTACCACTTCTAGGAAGCCTCAGAACAGAGGTCAATATCAAAGGTTGCTCTAGAATCAAGTTATTTCTCTGATGACAGCCTAAAATATCACACAAGAGACATTGAAAGATTTCAGCCCTGCTGAAAAGTTGAGAAAAAGTTGGGTAAAAGAATCTTTTTCCCTGGGCTAAATTGGAGAAAAATTGTAGAAATAACTTAGAATAATAGTTACATTTTTTCCACTTTTCATCTCTAGTCAGTACTTTGAAGGTTTCTGTTATAGTTTCTCCTTTTGGACTATATCTTTTGACTTATCTTCCTTCCTTTACTCATGCTTATCACATACATATTTTTCTTCTCTTGATTACTCATCCACTTTCCCATCATTACCCAGCACATTATACATCTTTGCCATTGAACTCAATGCAGGATAGATCCTGATCTATATGGACAATATCCTGCTATTCTCCAACTCCCATCTGGGGAGGTAGGTCATAGACCCTTTTGGGTAGCAGGGAACAGTGCCTTTGCAGGAGGATATGCCCCCCATAACTCCAATCCTATCAGCAGGCAATCAGCATAACCACTTTCTACAGCTGGCTCCCAGGGGGGTACACTCCCCTGGTGGGTGGATTAAATGTCTGCCCAATTGTGTCCTGAGAGGCTGAGCCCATGTATGTATGCTCATGACACCTTTTGGTGAAGCATTTGACCCAGTATCAAAGAAACTGATTGTAGATACTCACCTACCTCCAGGTACTCAGACCCTACTCTATTTGTGGTTCCCAAAAGACTCCGAAGCATCTGGGTTGTCTTGTAAGAAGTTGCTGACCCAGACCAGGGTTGGCCACTGTCCAGGAGACTCCTTTCTGTGATGTAATGGACAGAAGCAGAATGTGATTCATGGTCTCTTTTCTGAATCTACAGTTGCATTCACATGTTTCCTTGTCCTTCAGGAAGCATTGTCAATAGGTGCTGATTGGTGCATGACCCATTACAGCCCACATCAGTCTTGCAGTGAGATTAGTCTCAATGGAGATCTGGCCAATCCAAGTCCCCCCTTTCAGGTGGCTTGGTTTTAAGCTGCAGTCCATGATTGTAGAGGTGCAGGAAGTTCAATCCAATGTAATCTTTTTGCCTGGCCAGGTTTCCATCATATGTGAGACTGTGTTCTCCCTTGCCTGTTACAGCTGTTGGGTCTTATCCTCTAGATCAAGACCAACTATTGGTTCGATAAGACCGTCAACAATGAAGTCTGACATCTATAGACTTCCTGATATAAAGGACAAGTCTGTCTTCTGGTTCTAAGATGCACTACCCCCTTCTAAGGCAAGTAGGATCAAGCTGAGCATTGAGTTGTAGAGAATAAGGTATATTTAGCTAGATCAATCTGAGGACTATCTACTACACTGTAGGGTATATATATGAAGCTTGAAGAAGCATGATGAGTAATGCTTGGGAGAGGGATTGTTACAGTTTCTCTTTTCTCTTTGTTATCTTATCTTACCTCACACACTGGGGTAAACGGCTTGTATTATCACCAAATATACAATGAATATACTGTAGAACATATCTTGAGGACCCCCAATGTAATAAGATAGAATATACTTTGAATATACACAAAATTTATTCCTAAGTAAAGTCAAAGTATAAGTGTCGCATATACGCAAGGTATGTTCAAGGGTATCTCTGGGGAATATACCTTCGATCATATGACTTGTATCACGTACAGGATATCCATGGAATATACATCGCATATATGTTGGTTCGGTTCGCATTCGGTTCGGTTCGCCAAGAGAAACCCCACGCAACGCCAAGGTGAACGGTTCGTGAGTATTGACGCGTCGAACGATGCT